GAAATCTTCAGGAAATGGGAGAAAGGTGCAAGTAAAATTTATGGCATTAAACACTGGATCAGTTTATATCAAAGATTGAGGGGTAGGTCATTTGTAACTAGCAAAGAGTGCTTGCCCGCTCTGTCCTTTTATGGGTATATGGTTGTATTATCCTTTATGGATGAGGAAGAACCCACACCTCATTTCTGGATCTTAGGGGGGGCTTGTTGGGGGTGTTGCCTTGAACATGCCTCTTACATCCTTTTATGCAAGGCTGTTTGGGAGAATCTTGGGGCTGCCTGTCTATTGTTCCTAAAGCTCAACCTTCTTCCTAGCTAGGCGTTTCTTCCTTCCAACTAGAGGGATGTACAAAAATTTCTCTACAAAAAGGAAAAATAAAGATATAAGTAACCATACGGGTAAATAATTATAAAATGGTGGTCCCCATGATCTCAAACTTACGCAAATATTTGTATATTTTGCTTTCTTTTCCCCAATTTAATATATTCATGATAGTGAAACTCATGACGTTAAATTTGTCAAAGAGTTAAACTTCCTCCTTATCAGTATTGATAAAGTAGTCAAAGTTAAAGCTAGTGATCGCCACTAGGTTCTCCGCCCAAGTCAAAGGGAAATGAGGGGTGCCCTTTCCCATGTTACGTCCATTGAAGCACTATCTCACCCTTAACTTTCATGAACTTGTCTTTCAAATTTTCATAATTGTTATAACGGGGCTTGAATTTTTCTCTTCTGGATGGGGCACTCAAAGTCACCCCAACCACCCTTGGTACCAGTCTTGCTATTGTAAAAGGAAAAGAACATACATATGGTGGGGGCTAACTTCTAACTGTCAACCTATGATTTTAAACAACCTAATAAATCTCTAGCCGTTGGGCGAAATCTGGGAGGGAACAACATTGGCAGTCGTTAGAACTTCCTCTTTGAATAAAGTGAAGGGGATCAAAACCTTAAATATTTAATAATAAGGAGGTACAGATAGAAATAGAGATTGGCCGAGTCATCTAAGGTAGCCATACTAACCCTTTCTTACTCAACACACACATCCAAAATAACATCTTCCTCGTGGCCAGAGCTGGAAAAACTAATTTGTTGCTAAAAGGAAGGAACCCTCTTCTCACTGGTGTATAGGGTCATAAAATCTTTAACATTTGAGTAAGGGTGGCAAACGGGCATGCCCGCCCCGTTTAGGCCCGCCCCACAAAAGTCCGCAAAAAATAGGGCGGGGCGGGCATAATTGAGGATGCAGGCCTAAAACTTAGCCCTGTCCCGTAAAAAAGTGATGGCGGGCAGGGAAAGCCTGCGAGCATTGCACTTTTTAAGCCTAAAAACACAAAATTTTATGAAAATTCACATGCACATAAAAGCCCGCGTAGAAAACGGGCAGAGCTGACACATTAGAGGGTGAGGACCTAAATTCTTGGCCCGCCCGCACTAAACTAAGGGCAAAAAAGGTATGCCCAATGGGCCAGACCCATTTTTCTACCCCTACATTTGAGCATTTAACATCCATAGTCGCCATTAGTTGCTAGGAGTTTCCTAGTAAAGAACATGAAGAAAAAGAGTCACCATCACTCATAAACTACTAGTGCTCTTGTAACTCCTAAATACGCCTAAATCTAAGATCACACACTTAATGGAACATTCCTCCCATTCGGCATTCCCCGTGCAACGCAAGTACATTTCAAACCATTCTATAATGTTTTAAGGCTCTATCACCCTATCGATCTCATGTAAATCCATGATAATCTCCTTTAAAAGGGAAAAGGGGGGAAAGAGTAAAAGACTTATATCTACATTAGGGTTAAGTATTAAACTCAGAATATATAATTGTAAAACATATCAACTAAAGATATTCTATACTCCTTAGTTTATATGAATAAACACTTTAGGCTGTTTTGATAAATCGGATATAATTAGTTTAAGTTTTTTTATTATGATACATAACTAATTATATTATTATTGTTGATTTTTAATATTTTAATTATTAAGTGAAGATATAATTAAATATAAAATAATTAATGTTCTGTCAAAAACAATAGTGACAATCATTTTAAGTGAAGAATAATAATTTTTAAAAAATAATTATTACTTAAAAGACACAATTAAAAATAAAGCAATTAATTTTTATTGACAATCTCTTTTACAAATATGATAATTATTATAAGATACATGGAGTAATATTTATTTAAAAATTTATATTAATTATTTTTTTAAAAACAAAATATAGATTCACTTTATTCTACTGTGGACTACCTTTAAAATAAAATAGGTAGAGATAGTGTGTTTAGGTACCGTATTATAGTACACGTCCACATATATATTTTGAAAAATAATTCATATACTCGAGTTTATATTTGCATGGACCCTGACGTTTATACTCATATTCATATATATTACTCATATTTCTAGTAAAAAATTGATCAATTATAAAATATTATATTTGGTATTAGAGTAAGCTCACATAGAATGGTGAGAAGCTATGTATCTATGTGGTTTTTGAGTAAATTGAATCTCCACTTCCAACCTCGTAGTTGAGGTATTTATAGAAGTCGGTAGAGATTAGATTCTTGGACCTAATGGAGGTTATTTTGTTTCTCTCATGATCGTTGAAACTGTTATTCCTCGTGTTCTTTTGGAAAATGTGGCTTTCCCCTTAACTGAGATTATATGTTGTTAGTGTCTAAAGACACGTTGAATCCCATGTCTCGTAAGTTAGAAATGAGTGGTTTAACCCAGGCCCAATAGGGAGTGAATGACGTGAATAACAAGCGAGTGTTACAAACAATGGTCACGAGTTACGATCAACTGACGTCTAGAAATCCCACTTTGGGTGAGATGTTGTGTTAGCCTATCCTCAGTGAGCATATTGTCGTCTTTAGCCCCTTTCCTTCTAAGCCTGGAAAACTCATATTTATATAGGGTTCAATACAATTATATTGGTACAAATTTCAAATATTTTATCGTTGAATTATGAAATGATTGAACACTTATATTAAAATGTGTATAGTTTTAGAGTAAAAAAATAAAGAACACAAATCATATATATATAATGATAAATTAGATAAAAAAAATAAAGATAATAATACTACAATATTAAAAAAAAATAGTTATGTAGTATATAATTGAATTAAAGAACACAAATCATTAGAATTTTTTTGCAAGATTTTCAACTTAATTACACAAATATTTAATATTTAAAAAATTTATTTAAATAATTGTATTTGGGTTTGTAAAATAAGTGTTGGTGTTACTCCTCATAGCATTTATGTGTCTTTTTTTTTGTGTACACGTCGTATGAGATGACGCCTAAGTACAAAGATTTTAGGGCATACAATCTCATATGGTGCCTATGTGTATTATTTTTTTTTGTTTTTCTTTAAATAATATTAAATATTTAATTATCAAAATAAATATTATTACTATTTAATTAAAAAAATCATTACATTTGGGGAATAAGAAATATAAATATTTTAGTATTCCAAATCATCGTAATGGCCATCGATTCTGCACCGCGACGTTCTCCTAACTCGTTGACCCATATCCCTTTGAGATTTCTGTTATGTTTGGGTCAATGACTCTTGTAATACCTCACTACGCTCAAGGTCCATGTAATCCGTCAACTCACAAAATTGTCCCGAATACCCGTTGTCAAAAATTTGGTTGCCCATGTCGTTAAAGCTTTGTCGTGGTAGGGGTGGTGGGTGATAAAAGGTTGGTCGACAATACTGGTAAGTTGAACCGGGTTACAAAAAAGGCAATGTTTCTTGTGGTGTGTTGAAGCCATATGGTTGTTGGGAGCTAAGGTGATGTGATGTTTGTGGGATAAATGGATCATTTGGGTGGTAGTAGTTTGGCACAATGACAAAATGTGAAGGAAGAAAAAGGGTCACCCCAACAAAATGCGTATTAGAACCAAAATGGATGCGACTGATAAAATGAAAAAGAACCGTAGTATATGTCGTCAGATCAAACACAATCGAAATAATTCTCTTAATCGTGGAACAAACTCCACAACCTAATAATTGTATGCACTCTTTGTAATATATTTTTAGAAATCAATTGAATTATTTATTCCTTAAACATATTTGTTACAACTACATAAACGCAAACAAGACTAAAATAATAACACAAACAATAAATAAAATTACTTAACACAATAAAATATCTAAGATATCATAACCTTTGAAATAATATAATTTGATCCATGTATCATAGAACATACATCATTGTCACTTTTGACTTCATCCCACCAACTTTCTAGTGTTTCGATTGCAATTGAGGTGATCGTTCTAAGTCTCTGAATTCTTTAGATGATTTCACCATCTTCGAACTCCCCTTCTAACCAACAGATCAAGGACCTCTTAAGATGGTTCATGAAATGGATGTTCCAAAATTTCATTTTAATCGGGGGTTTGACAGCAGAGAAACAAACATACCCATCTATTTTAAAAATCATGTTAGATGTCATGAAGAAGAGAGAGAAAGTGAAAAGAGATGTGAAGAATGACAGAAGATGAAGATTTTATTTATAAAAAATGCCATAACACATATGAACCATCCTATATAACTCCTTTTCACACACATTGCACATAGACACCACATGAAGTGACACATTACTTTTCATCTAGACATAGGCGTCAATACCCATACCGTGTATACACAAAAAAAAAACTCATATATGTGTCATTAGGGATAACGCCAACACTTAAGTTAGTTTTAAAATCTAAAATTTAGTGAAAATATAGTTATTTAAAAATTTAAATTGAAAAATATGATTATTGTAGAAAATTTTTCGAATGATTGTATAAATATAACTAATCCAAATTGTAAAATTTTTCATTGTTATTACTATTTTTATTTATATCAGAGAGCATCGAAAGCAAAACGACATCGTATGAGATGTCAAAACCCTCGCGCCTAGCTTAGGGTTTAAGCAGCCAAATCAAAACACCTCCAATTCTCCCAAACAACCCATCCACTTTTTGGCTTTTCGCTTAACAATGGCAACCGAAAACAACGACGGATCGGAGCTTAACCCGAACCCTATTGTGGCGGAGACACCGGAACTGGAGCTTTACCCGAGCTCTGTTGCGGCGGAGACACCGGAACAGGGGCCTGAAAAGATTGATACTTTAGACGCTGAAATTCCTATTGAGAAAATTGTGGAAAAGATTACGTTAGCAGGTGAATTGAACGGGAGTGACGATAAGGATAACAATGATGATCAAGTTGATAGCGAAAGTGAGAGCGAGAGTGACAGCGAAAGTTCAGAGTCTGAGGCTTCTTCCTCATCATCTTCAGCATCATCATCATCATCATCATCATCTAGTTCTGATTCCGATAGTGATGAAGATGGGGAGATAAGGGATTCTGATGAAGAGAATGAAGATGGGGAGATAAGGGATTCTGATGAAGAGAATGAAGATGGGGAGATAAGGGATTCTGATGAAGAGAAGATGGTTAGTTGGAGTGCGGCTGATGGTGATTTTGATGATGAAGAGGAAGTTGTTGTAGGACCAATTAGGTCAATGAATGAGATTCAGGTATTTCTTTTTTTTTTTTTAATTTTTTATTTTAATTCATAAAATTAATATTTTCTTAATTGATTGCATAGTGCTTCATTGAGAATTATTTGTTTGTTTTGGAAGTCTAGGATTTATCCTATTTGACATGCTACTTTGAAGGTAGCTTTACTTGACATTTATTGTGATGCCAAACTTTGAAAGTCTCTTGGTGCTTACCGTGATGCACAAACTCATTGTGAAGATTTTTTTATTGAACAATGTGAATTAATTTGACTAACTCAATTGGTATTGAATTTGCAGAATTTGCCTCCAGTTCCTACTGTGGACGTGACATTGGAACCACACCATAAAATGCAACCTGTTGGAGTTGTTATGTCGGTAAGCTCGCAGTAATGTCATAACTTATTAGAGGAACATGATAGGAAATTCCAGTATTGGTTGCATGTTCTGTTTCTCTAGTTGATTGGGAACTCCTTATCTGTGTAAATCATGTGTTTGTTATTAGATTTGATAATAACATGAATAGGTGTATTAGAAGGGGTACCAGTTATTGTTAGATTTAACTTAATCTGTTTTCTTGTCAGACTCTTGGTGCTAAAGTCGTTGTGGAAGGAGTGGACAAGCATGAACCTCTTAATGAGGGTTCCATTCTCTGGCTGACTGAAAGCCGCAAACCATTAGGTTTAGTTGATGAAATCTTTGGACCAGTCAAAAACCCATATTATGTTGTGAGATACAATTCTGAAAATGATATCCCTGCGGGGATCCAAGGGGGAACAACTTTGGTCTCATGTGTTCCAGAATTTGCTGATCACGTGCTTAATAATACGGATCTTTATAGGAAAGGCTATGATGCTTCTGGTCCAAATGATGAAGAGTTGTCTGATGAAATAGAGTTTTCAGATGATGAAAAAGAAGCTGAATACAGGAAAATGCAGAAAATGACAAAGAGAGGGAATAATGATCAAAATCCTGGCAAGAATCGCAAGAAAAGAAACAATAAAAATAAGTTTTCATTGAAAGATAAGGCGCTACCTACTCTCCCTAATGCATCTGCAGAAGCACAGCATGTGTTACATACCGCCCCTAATGCACCTGTAGTAGCATCACTGGTTAATAATGGAAACCGTTCTTCATTTTTAGGCACCGGACAAGGTGGAACTACTACAGTTTCTCCATTTCAACCTTTAAATGCAGGTCCTAATTTTGCTGCAAATGCAATGTGGCCAAATCAGACAACATTTCTACAGCAGTCACAGCTTTCCCTGCTTCCAAATGCATTTCCTACAAATGCCATGTCATATTATCCTCAAAATACACAATTTTCTCATCAGTTTCCTGTGCCAGGAGGTCCATTTCAACAGCAACTGAATCCCAGTCACGGACCTCATTTCCCAACTATGATGCCTGGGTTGCAGCCCAATATATATCCACAACAACCCATGCTTGCACCGGGGTTTGTGGGTCAAAACCAAATGCCATTTAATATGAGCTCCCCCTTCCAACAGAATCAGCCACCGCCTATCTTTCAAGCACATCAGGGTTCGTTCCAACAGAATCAGCCACCACCTAATTTTCAAGCGCAGCAGGGTTTCTCACCCACTGAATTGCAGCCATCACCTAGTTCTGTTTCTGGCAACCCCTCTCAGTTTCATCCAGGTTCATCAGCTAATCAAGGGAGACAAACATTCCGTGCCGCCGGAAGGAAAGGGTGGTGGCCTGCTAGGTGATGTTGAAATGATTGGTCGAGTTGGGCCATTCTGCAGGGATTGCACTTGCACATTTTCCAGCCTCTTCAATTATGAAAGGAATTCTAAAAGGGATAAGTGGAGTTCTGATACCACAGGGAGGCTGCTGAAGTGGTTCAAAGCTTCCTATCAAAAGCTTAAAGAAGGTAAGTATGCTACGGAGTCACAAGTTTGGCTTAACTCTTTTTAAAGCGAGGGCAATGCGTTGTAGAATATGTGGTGAGATTATAACTTATGATTGTAAAATTGGCTGTTAGGTCATAATTAAGTTGATAAGCACGTAACACAAACCACAAAGGGTATGTTTGTTTTAGATTTTGATAGAATTGATTTTGAATGAATTTATTTCAATTTAGTTGGTTTGTTAAGGAATGATGTTTTAATAGTGAATTTTAGTAACTGATTTTATTTGAAGAGTTATGTTCGAAGTGTGAATACATGTATGTTTTTCTGAATTAGAAAAAACTCTTATAATTAATTTTAAGCGCGATCTGGTCTAATTAATTTATTTTTCTCAAACACGGTTCAATAAACAAGAATTATTCAATTTACTAATTAATATCTTTGTTGGAAATGCAGATGGCAAGATGATTAACATAATGATATGTTTTCATAACCGAGTCCATGATAGTCTTGTGAAACATTTGGGGGAATTTCTTATCTCATCCTATAAGGTGGGAAAGAATCCTATGAAATTCTAAAAATACCGTTCAATTTTCAGAAATGTATCTCCAGACGCATCTTATACACTTACAATTTGTTTGTTTTTGAGCTATTTTGAAAATGCATTTTTAAAATGTATGTGTATGAGATGCGTTCGAAGATGCATCGCCGAAATCTGAGGGTATTTTTAAAATTTCATGAGGTGTGCCAGTAATCCACATGGTGCATTAAGAAATTCCTAATGTTTAGTGACAGTAAGCCTTATTGAACTAAAGAGAAATGTTAAGAATACTCTTTTTTTGAACACTCTTTCAAACATTTATTTTTTTTATTGGTTGAAACATTTGTATTTCTTATTTTAGAAATTAGTCCCACATAAAATGGTAGACTAATACACATTTCAACCCATAAGTGAGTGTTTGAGAGTGTTCAAAAGAAAATGTTTTTAACATTTTTCTTGAAATAAATTAGTAGACTTGATTTTATGAGGGTTAATTTATTCATAACACAAAATTTTCTTAGTTTGTGAAACTCAATATATGATATGAGTCAAAATATATAGAGGAGAAATTTGGAGAGGGTTTTGAAATAAATTTTTTTCACTTGTAATCTAAGGTGTTATTATATTTTAAAAGTTAAAGATATATTAATTTTTTTAGGGTAAATATCTATTTTCTTTCCATATCTTGTATTTGAAGTTTAATTTGATTCTTTAATCTGAAAAAATACTTCAAGTCATTTAATTTTTCAATACGCGTCAAGTTAATTATTTATATTCAAATTTTATTAATGGTATCAATTTTGTGCGATCGTGTAATCTTCAATTTTTATGATTGATTTAGCAATCAAAAAATCGATCATTAAAATTAATTTTTGAGTTTTTGATCATTGTTATTTATCTTCCTCCTAAAATAAAATTAAAAGAAAAATTCTCAACCCTAAAATTTACCAAATCTAAAATTCTCAACCCTAAAATTTACAAAATTTTCTCAAATCTAAAATTTACACAATCAATATTGTGCCGGTTTTTATAAAGTTTTAAGACTAAGAAAGGTAACTTATTCAAAACTTCAGACCAAAATCTTATACCGGTTCTTATGTGATTTAATTTAAATCAATTTTTAAATATCTAAAATTACATATTATATTTTTATTAATATTATAAAATTACTAATAAATTATAGATTTAATATAATATATAAATTATAATTTATTAAAAATTAACTTTATAAAATGAGAGTATTATGGTTGAAATAATAAAAATAAATAAATTATATCAAACTAATAAATATTATTAAAAAAATTATTATTATTTAATAATAAATTCACGTAATATATCATACTAATAAAAAATAAATAAATATAAAAAATATATGTATGCAGTTCGATTGATTTGGATCGATTTTGAAAAATTAATATGAAATCTGATCCGTATCTATTGGTTTTCACAAAATAACAATCAAACACATTCAATAAATTTCAATTTTTTGCAGTTTTCGATTTTTTAGATTAATTTTTGATTTTTTATTTGAATTAGTTTAAATTTAAACACTCTTCCTAATCCCCTCCTTTTAAATATATTCTCTCTAGAAAAAATCTATCTCACAGAAGTTGTCAAGGGAAGATACCTACTTTAAAAGGGAGCCCAACTGATTTTGAAGAGGGGAATAATCAAATTCTCGGCCAAAAGAACAAGAGCCAACAAAATGAAATGGCAACAGAGAAAAATATCCTCTCTATGATAGAGAGAATTACACCACATAGTAGGGAAAGGAGATTTTCAAACACATATAGCTTTCTAAGAAAGAAGGTTCTCTTTTACCTAAAATTAATTAATTTTCCATTTTAAATGTCCAATCCCTCGTACAGGCTACGGAGTTAGAAAAAAACTAAAAAACTAAACCACAAAGGAATTGGTTTTAATCAAGATTCAACTGTTACACAGTAATAATTGTTACAATCATATATTCTACTAGTAGTAACTTTCGTTTTGATCCATTAAATTGAGCTAAAAAAAAATCACAAACCGATAAAAAACCGAAAACTGTAAAAAAAACAAATATTTTAGATGTATTTGAATTTTCTTTTATGAAAACCACTTATATCAAATTAAAATTTAGGTTGTTTTTTATTTTAAATTAATTAAATTGAACCAAACTATAATATTTTTAAAATAAAAGTGTGTTTTAATTAGATACATGATTGTAATTGATTGACAGAGTAAAACTATTTTACATTGTCACTGCATCAATTTTTCTCTCTTTCATTAATACAATATATTACATTAATTTATTATTCTTTAATACTTATTTTATTTTAATATTATTTATTAGTTTTGTTTTTATATATACTTTTAATATTTTATTTATTTCAAACATAATCAACCAACTACCTTCATTTTATAATTTTAATTTTTAACATATTATAGTTATATATTACAACAAACTTATTATTTTATAATATTTTATAATATTTTATGATATTTAATTTGAATATCTAAAAACTAATGTAAATTAAACAATATAAAATTGGATTAAAATAAATTAAAAAATTTTAATTAATCAATCAAAATTGAATCGAATGACACATAGTTTTATCTTAAAATTCGATAAATTTTTGTTTCAAAATTAGTTCAAACCAGACCATAAACACTTTAATTATAAATAATTTAAAATATATTTATTTTTAGTAAAATAAAGAAGAAAAATATTGATGATGTGAATGCACTATCTTTTTAGATGTTTTGAATGATGTCAAAATTAAGATTTAGTATTTTTATATTAGACTTTAATCTCTAATCTAGATGTACATTTTCATATTAGAAAACTTTAAATCAATAAACATGTTTTACAAGTTAAAAATCAAGTTTTCATGTGAAAAATTAGTTTCTATTTAGTACGTGTCAACACATAAGATTTTCAGGTTGACACATAAAAATCATTGTCCAGTATGTATCGACACATACGGTTTTTAGATCGACACGTACGGTTTTCAGATTGACCCATAGACTACAAATTTGCTCTATAGATCGACAAATAGACTGCAAATTTGCTCTATTGGCAGATATCTGTATTTCAGGTAGACACATGCTGAAACAATTTTAAAAAATTACATTTTGCTCAGCATGTGTCGACACATAAAAGTAAAAATACTTCTATAGATCAACACATTCGAGCTATAGATCGACACATATTGTATATTTTCAAAACCAAAAGTTTTTGTTTATTTCAGGTCGACACATAAGACCTTCAGGTCGACACATAAAATTAAATTTCTACTATGTGTCGACACATAGAAATTTTAGGTCGACAGATACTGTTTTAATTTTGAAAAACATGTAAAACTCTATAATCTATTTTTTCTATTATTTCTTTCTAACACACATACACATACGCACGCACTCAAACACAGACATGCACACACACACACACACCCATACAACACACACACACAAGCACACACACACACACACACACACACACACACACACACACACGCACACACACACACACGCACAAACGCTCACGCACACACACACATACACGCGAACACATACACAGACACACACATGCATGCACATACATACATGCACACACACACACACACACACACACACACACACACACTGTGACCGACAAGCACGCACACACAAGCACGCATGAACTCACACACATAATCATGCACACACACGCACACACACACACATACACACACGCACACACTCACTCACACGCACACACAAACACACACGCACACACACACACACACACACACACACACTCACACACACATACACGCTCACACACACAAATACGCACACGCATACAGACACAAACATTTATATTCGTCTGAGTGAAAGCTTCGAAGAAAAGGTTTTGTCGAAGGAGTAGCAGTAACCAGAGGATCAAGTTAGAAGTATTGGGTTACTTGATCGAGCTCAAGATCAAGGGGAGAGAAGAAGATAAGATCAACATCAAACATATAGTTTGTAGGATTGAATTGCTACTTTTTCTATTGTAAACTACATTTGCAAAAGTTAATTTTCATTATCTCAATTTCATTAGAATTATGTGAAAGTGATCCCATAGTGAGGCCAATTGGGGAACTATATGAACAAATCCCCCCCTCTCTCTCAGTTAAATTCATTTGATTAAAAATGTTATTTATTATAAGCGCATTATGATATTTAAAAAAAGTACTTCTCTCTTTTTTTAGTATTGCTTTTCTCATTTTTTCTTCCGGTTTTCACTACTGATGTAGTCCGGTTCAGGGGTAAGTTCAGGCATCAAGTGGTTATAGCTCCCTCCTGATTGCAGTTG